AAGTGGTGTTCTGTTATTTTCTTTGTTGGCCCTGTCTTGTAGGAGGTGACTTCTGGGTACTCGTCTGGCTCTGTCAATCTGTTTTTTCACTTCAGCAGGTGGGTATTGTAGTTTTAAGAATGCTTGATAGAGATCTTGTAGGTGCTTGTCTCTACTGAGGGATTAGAGCAAATGCGGTTATATCTTAGACCCGATGTCAACTCTGTCCACATATCTATTCAAGTGACATCATCATAGGGCCTAATCACATCAGCCATACCATCAGGGGCTCGTTCACCTGCACATCTACCAATGTGATATATGCCATCATGTGCCAGCAATGCCCCTCTACCATGTACATTGGCCAAACCGGACAGTCTCTACGCAAAAGAATGGTGCCACAAGTACTCCTGGTTTTTTTTGGCTCCAAATGTTTCTCTGAGCTATCCAGACCCTGATTCCACCACACTGGGCTGAATTGGCCTGAGAACAGGTTCTCTTGTGAAATTTCAGCACTGTTGGTTCTAGTCCCAACCCAGAGATGGATCTACTATGGCCTTGCTGACCCAGAAAAATAAGAAAGCAATCAGTGTATAATGAATCAGTGCCATCATATGGTAGTGTCTAGAGTCCCCAGCTGAGATCAGAGCAGAGCTCCATTGTGTTAGGGGCTGTACGTATGCATAATGAGAGACAGCTCTTGCTCTGAAGACCTTACCATCCAAATAGACAATGGGACAGATTTTTAAAGGTATTTAGATGCCTAACTCCAAAAACCTTTAAAAATCTGGCCCTAGATGGATAAAGGAGTGGAAGGGAAACCAAGGCACAGAATGGGAATTGATTTGCCTGAGAATAGATCAGTGGCAGAGCCAGGACTAGAAGCGAGGGCTCCTGATTCCCAGTCCAGCGCTTCTCTCTGAGTTTTGAAAAGGTAGCTCTTATTGTCATCCCCATTTTTAAATTGGGAACACTGAGCCCCAGATACAAATCTGCTCTGAATGGTGACTCAGCAGGCACTCGGGAGTTCCACACCTGTCACTGTTAATTTAAAAGACATGCTCTTCCAAACAGAGGATGCATATGGGACAGCTGCTCCAGGACACCAGCCTTTTAGTGCACATGTGCA